ATTGAACATTGTTAGATTTGAAATGTTGGGACAGTTCATTAATATACAGTAGCTGTTTATTCTACCTGTACCTCTTATTTTTTGCAATTTTTCTAAATAATTTAATGAGAAATAATTTAATAATTCCAGTGGTTTTAGTTAATTACAAATGACCAGTGCTCCAAAGAAAAAAATGGGTAGGTCGTTTGAATCACATTCACTGGCAGAGTTTTCTTATAATGTCTAATCCTGATTAATGACACTTCACTGCATTTATATTGGGAACTACCTCAGAAACCAGATCTTTTGCTTAGTTCAAGCTCACCAATTAATAAAACTGTTTAGTGTAGATTTATCCTGGTTAATAATAAAACAAACGTTTTTACATCAATACATTAATCCTATTTATTGGAATTTCACTAAACCATGTCTATTGAACATAATATCTATTTACTGCATACTTATGCCTGTAGATGCCAGTAGAATATGTGTAATTTCACACATATCAATAGCTTATTTTGATGCATTCGCTATTTTACACCCTTTCAATATGATTGCTTTCATCATTAATTTTAAACATGTTCAAAAGGAAATTACTTTTATTTTGCTACTATTACTGAAAAAATTCTTCTTCAGCTTAGCCTTGTTCCAAACACACTGCAGTAAGGACTGGTGCAGCATGACTCCAGACAGGGTGGATTAATGAGGAATAGGTCACCTCAGCACCTCATGGGAATAACAAATTTAACACAGCTAACTTTTCTACCAGTATCCTTTTGGGTGGCAGCAAGAAGATGGAGTACAGTACTACAGTAAATAGTGATGTAAAGCTTTCAACAAAAATATTTGTTTACTATTGTGAGCCTTATTGTCCAGCAAAGCCTTGGGTCAAATCTAGACTATCATTAGTCACCTGAGAGCAGGAGACCCCAAGCAGAACTGATTGAGCCCCTATGGTCTTGTGTACTAGTATGTTGAGCTTGTCACAAATCAGTGATCCAGATTTGCCTAGGCCACAATATTACCACTGCCAGGTTTCAAAATTTGGAGAGTGTCAGAACATAGTTTGATGGACAGACGATACTGTACATCTGTATATCATTTATATTAATCCTATGATCATACTTACAAAATGCTGGACTGCAAAAAAAAAATCAGTTTTGACTTTGGCATCACAATACATTTAGAAAGCGCTGTATATACTGCAGCTAAGAATATCCAAACAACAAAACACACGTAATTAGTTTTAGCATGAGAGTCCTGGAATCAAGGCACTGTGCAGTCACTGGAACTGTCAGTCTCCATCCTTCAATACAATATCACAGACAGAATAAAATTATGCATTTTTAGTACTCTCTACTTTGAACAGGTAACCAACTAAGGTCAGTGAATAGCACTTACAAATAAAATTTAGTACAATTAAAGTTATTCCAGGTCTATTATAAAGCCACTTCCTGGCAAGTGTGGGAGTTAACTCAGAACCTATCCCAAACAGACAGTGTGAAGGCTGGGACTACACACTGAACAGGTAGCCAGTCCATCGCAGGCCACAAACGTAAGCTCAGAGGGACAATTCAGAGGTACAGTAGTCTTTGGAAGACGAGATATCAAAAGCACTTTAATGAAACTCACACAAACATGAAGAGAAAAGGCAAACTCCAAAGAAAAGGCTCCCTTGTCTGACTTGATTTGCATCAAGAACCCAAAAGCTGTGAAACAATTATTAGTTATTATTAATTAGATTTATTAGGCAATGTGCAATTTGGTTTACTTCACTAGATGGCAGTGATGTGCAAATATCAGAGAAAACTAAAGGCTTAACGCTAACCAAGACTCCAAATACCTGTACATGCAGCTCGGACAAAATTCAAGGTGAAGGCATTCTGCACAGGACTGCTACATTGAGTTGAACTTGGGGTTATTGCTGAGGAATTTGTATACTTTATGAATGCGATGGCAATGAGGGTGAACTGATAAATATGAATATCCCACCTATCTATCCCACCAGTCTTCGTACAGAGCGTGGGATTATTTTAAGGGCAAATGGATTCAGCAGCAGTAAATGAAAGCTCAAACTAAAACCTTCATATTTTTGGCAATAAAGTATGTGCAAATAGATTGCTAAGGCAGGCTTTTATAGATCAAGCATCCTTGTGCACACAGGATATAAACATGTTCACAACTAAAAAACGCTCAATTGCTCTTACCCGGATTTAAAATCAAAGGCTCGTGTCTCATTCACTACCACTCCTCCACTCTCAAGGACAGCCATCTGCCTTTCAATTTCATAGTCTGTGGAAAAGATCAGGAGGTCCAGAGTGATAAAGGAAGCAATATGACAAAGTATCCGAAGCTCACTTTCAAGCCTTGATTGTGGGAATAGCTGTAATGTCAAACATCTATAAAAACAGAAAATCAAGCATTTTACTTTTTTCAGTCTTCAGTGTTCCATATTTCACTTCTCTCTTAAGGCTGCCTTGCTAATAAAACACTGAAACTCGCAATCAATAAAGTACCACAAAAATCTCCTCTGGAAGTTAAAACAACACTTTCATATGTAATCGTCATTTATTTTATTCAAAAGTTAAGAAAGAACTAAAGCGCTATTTTAAAATATATATATGAACTTTACTTGGATCGTGAGCAGAACTGTAAAAGAAAGTTCAAAGAAGGCCTGTTGACTTTCAGGGATAAGGGAGAGAAGACTGCATAGAAGTGTGGCAAAATCTTAAATCTCATTACGAACCTATTGAGGCACAGAGCCTTTAAAGACAAATGTTTGATTATTATGAGGTTAGTTTTAAAAGAAACACTTTAAAATAAAGCTACGACACTGCCTTCACTGTAAGTGAGTGGTACTCATTAGTTTTATGTTTGCTTGTTACTTTTACAACATGTGCAAAACTAAACATTAGCATTAGGCTTAAATTCTGTAAGATCTGATTAAAGCACAGTTCTGTCAATTCTCCTCTAAAGTGGATGAAACTGGAAGATAAGAAATAGGCATATGAGTGGCAAGATAAAACCAGAAGTCTGTAAACCATTGAAAGACCAAGTCCTGCAGAAGCTTGCAGAAGTGTTTCTCACAAAGGAAGACCGACCTACAAATATCACTCTAACATGCATTCTTAAGGGAATTCCCAAGAACAGATAAGTGAATGGACCTGGTAGAGGACTAATATGTAGATGTTATTAGACACATTTTAGGTAATAGATCACCATATGTAGCATACTGTTATAAATATCCTTTTAAAAAAAACGTAATAATTTCTTAAATTTCTGTAGCAATTTTCATTATTACTGCATATGTCATCCAGTTGGGTGTTGTGGAGCAATCATTAGGTTCTAGAAAATCAGTAACACAGAAGCTTGAGTGCAGAAGTGAGAAATTAATTGACCAAATGAATTATGGGAGATATTTAGGGGACCCAGTTTGTGCAAGCCCAAAGTTTAGCCAGCACACTGGAACCAATACCACTAATCTTACAAACACTGCCATGGGTTTTGTGATGACCAAATAGTCAGGAGACTGATTTGAAGTCTTATGTGAACAACAGCATCACCGATAACATGGTGTCCCCTGGTCAACATGCTGGGGAACTGGTTTGGAAATGATGGTCCAGTGGGAAGACTTGTTTTTCCTAAAAGCACGCCCAAGCCAGCTCTGACTAGGTCCAGCTTTGCTTAGTTTCTAAGATATATAATAAGATCAGACTACAAAAA